GAGACAATAATTGTTAGACGACAGCAAGAGCTCGAAAAGGGAATCTTGAGTCTCCAGAAAGCGGATCTGGTGGACGGGCGAATGGGTAGCGGTGGGAACGTGGCCCGTTGCATCATGCTTATGACTTTTCTCTTCTCTTTTCTTTGTCTAATATAAAGGATATAGAATATGAATAGTCTCCAGGAGCTGAAGAATCGGCCCAATTAAGAATAGACGGTGATTTGCGCCAGGAAATGCAAGATAGCCGCGGTGCTCGACAAGTGTGATTTTCTTAGCGATGGCTATTCAAAGGCTAAAAAGGAGGGAGGGCAAGGCGACGGGGGAAATTGACAAAAGTACGAAACCTTAGAATGTGCATGCACGGTCCTGTATATTCAGTCATATTGCGTATAGCATTGGAGTAGTTTATATAGTTTGATCTGGTCTACAAATTCAAGGTATATAATCTATATATATGAAGTTATTGGAGAGGCAAATCAGACATAGATTGTTATATAGACATTGTATATTATATACTACTTAGACATCTCAATTATAGAGCTAGCACACTATGTTATACAAATGTTGTAGCCTAAACTATCCCACATTGTTCCCATTCTACTCCCAAGAGTCTTCTTGCATGATGACTCATCAGTTAGTGTTGTTCTGCAGGGCTTTTGATATACTTCAATTCAATATCAAAGGGGATTTATTGTCAGACCCCTGGATAAGGTTGCAGTAGTTCAGGATGAGCTAAAAAGGACAAGAAAGATGGTTGCCTTAGTTTCACATGTTAGTTAACTATGACTATCGTCCTCAACATCCATTTGATATCTGACATGTGAGTCATGGCCTGAGGCCAAAGCATTATGTCATAGGCCTGGGAAGTTCACCGGGTGAACGGAGTTTTGTAATCAGTAGGGGCTTAATACAACTATGGCACTTTTGATATATCTCTTAATAAAAGAACGAACGGCAAAGAGAAAAGAATAGACTATAAACAATACCAAGGTAAATCATACTGTTGCTTATTTCCTGTCGTGTGATCTTCCTCCGGTCCCCGGAGAGCGCAAGCGGAGAAAACCCGGGGACCGCTCGACCTCGGCAGTCAAAACGTTCCGATGACTCGCATCTCTCACACTTCCTCCCGAACACTTCTCTCCAGATAGAAATACTTTCTAGACACATCTGTTACAAGGCCATTTGGCCAATATACCCCCCCACAATGTGGAAGCCTTCAGAGAGGCTGATGGACACCATCAGACATTATGCCAGCTTCCCCGCAACCGGCGTCTCGCTGAGGCAGATGGTCCAATTTGGTGACCGTCCCTCAACAGGTATGAACTATGAGCTGGTCTGGCACTGTCTCCAGTCAATAGCTAACCCTCATCTAGGTACCCTATTCCGCGCCTCTCAATTTCTCTCCGAGGAACTCCCGATCCGTCTCGCGCATCGCGTTCAGGATCTTGGTGAGCTGCCAGATGGACTCAGTGAGATGCCATCGATCAAAAAAGTCCAGGACTGGTATGCGCAGTCATTTGAGGTATGTGACTCACCCATTGACAATTGATCCCGGATCCATACACTGACCCGAAATGCCAGGAAATCATCGCTCTTCCTCGCCCCACCCTGACTCAAGAAGTGAAAGCACGCCTATTACGACCAGGCCGGATGAACGGCGGCCCTTCAAAAATCCTCTCTGAAACAACCCAAAACCCCAGCGTGCGTGATGGACAGTACCGGTCATCTGTGACCGCAGCCAATGGAAATGGCGTTGCAAAAGCGCACGCCGCCGCAGGCCGACGGTACTTTTTCCCCGCGGACGATCGCGGAGACTGGCCCCCGGAACTCAATGACTATAACCAACGATTCGCCAAGACCCTCCAACAGATCAAGCGCCGCCACGACGGGGTTGTGACCACCGTCGCGCAAGGCATCCTAGAATGGAAACGTGCGCGGCAGCGCATGCAGATCGACTCGACAATCCAGTCTTTCCTCGACCGGTTTTACATGTCAAGAATTGGTATACGAATGCTCATCGGCCAGCACATCGCACTCACGGAACAAACGCACGTCAAACACCCGAACTATGTTGGAATAATTTGTACCAAGACCAACGTGCGCGACATCGCCCTCGAGGCCATTGAAAACGCCCGCTTCGTCTGCGAGGACTACTACGGTCTTTTCGAGTCGCCCAAGGTGCAGCTGGTCTGCAAGGAGGACTTAAACTTCATGTATGTTCCCGGGCATTTATCGCACATGCTCTTCGAGACCCTCAAGAACTCGCTTCGGGCGGTCGTCGAACAACATGGTGCCGATAAGGATGATTTCCCCGTAACCAAGGTGATAGTTGCGGAAGGCAAAGAGGACATTACGATCAAGATCTCCGACGAGGGTGGTGGTATCCCCCGGTCGTCGATCCCTCTTGTATGGACCTACATGTACACGACAGTAGAGCAAACGCCCAACCTGGACCCTGATTTCGACAAGAACGACTTCAAAGCACCAATGGCTGGATTTGGATATGGCCTACCAATTAGTCGACTGTACGCACGGTACTTTGGCGGTGATTTGAAGTTGATCAGTATGGAGGGGTATGTTTTTCTTCCCTCTACTTTCACTCTTTGTGAACCCTTGCTAATTTATTTCTGCAGCTACGGGACTGACGTCTACCTCCATCTCAATCGCCTGTCTTCAAGCTCGGAACCCCTGCAATGACAATCACCCGTCATGAGAGACGGTCGGATCCGGATCACCACCTCGCACCGCCTGCACCACCCAATTTACAATGACCCGGAATGCAAACCGCCGTCTCGAGGACTGACACTGATGAATGCGCAGGCCCACTACGCTCGCATGCTCAGCCGAGAGGTCTCGGAGCGTAAGCAAGTTGGAGACATGGAGAGTCTGTTCCACTCGGAGCAGCGGAGGAGAGACGAGAAAGAGATGTAAGACGTGGCTTGTGCCTCGCTTGGCTTAGCCTTGGCTTTGGTCTTGGCTTCTACTGTCTGTCTGATTGGTGTCTCTTATCTCTCTCACCTTGTCCCTTGCTTGTTTGAACCTTTTCCCCCGATTTGGATGGCTGCTGTATCTGTGATCAGCTGTTCCACCAAGAATGTGAAGATGAGTTTCGCAAGTCGGACCGCAGCACCACCGCGTTGCCTGAGTATCTCGGGTAATATCCCAGAGATTGACAGAGGAGAAGACACAAAAATAACCCACCAGAGAAGCTATTCCCTTTTCTGGATCCTCTCGATGATACCCCGTTTCTCTTTCTTTTTGTCCTCTTCGTCTTCCTCTGGGCTGGTGGTCATGTCGTTGATTTGGTTTCTCTGTATAGTACTTTCTTTTTAATCTGTTTTAGCGAATATAAACATTCTAGTATCATATCTGTCTTTAGTAGTGGGTAGCCCGTAGTCAAGCATCCATTACAATAAGCTTCAATGTTTGAGATAGCCCTATGAGACAAACATGCGAGAAACACCACGCTAAAACAACTTGCATCAATTCATAACTCATAACTCATAGTTCCTCATCCTCATCCTCATCCATCACGGCAGCCTGAACCCGATGCAAACCCCTCCCAGCCAACGAAGCCCCCCCTCCTCCCCGACCCAACCCAACGCCTTCAGAAACCCGCCTCGGCGAATTCGCACCGGAAACAGACCTAGAGGCCGAAACAGAGCGCGAACCACCACCCTTCGCCTTCTTAGCGTCCATCGCCTTCAAATGCGCCGGCTTATGCCAGTTGTGATCATTAATATCCCCAATAACCTCCCGGTACCGACCACGAATAAGCGAACCTTCCCCGCCCTTCCCATCAGGCGCGATATAGAACCGCGGGTCGTACAGTTCCTCTGCTTTTACTGGGTCGTTGGGTGCAAGATATTTTGCCAGGAAGCGTCGGCGGGTCTGGGGGATTGTCTTGGTGGTGTCAGTTTGGTTTAAAAGTAATTGTAATTGGGATTGGGATTGGGATTGACATTGGATATGGGACAGGAACTGGTGCTTGACTCAAGGGAATCACAGGACGTCAGGTCAGGATAGTAACGTACTTCTCGCGAGGCAAGCGCATATGTAACTAATAACTCACTGTCCATGAGGACGGCCAGTGCGGCATGTTTTTCGTCGCGGAGATGCGAGCACGTGCGGGCATCTCTTTCAAAGGCGGTTTGGGGTTCTGAATCATCTTCGCCGGCGCGGTTATATGATGCTGTGAGGGGGTTTTGGGCGCGGCTGGTGAATCTTCCTTTTTGGGGGTGTTAGTTTGCCAATTAAGCTGTGGGTCTATTGAGATGGAATTTGAATAATGTAGTTGTGCGCAGAAGGAAGGATTCACGTGGTTCCGGGGATATAGAAACGATGAAAGGTGGGGAGTTGGACTTGACAACGGGAGGAGCGGGATACATACTGTTGTCTGATCCATTCACACCCAAAACATCATCATCTGAACCAGAACGCGACATTGGTATACCATCTACGTTAAATTCGGCACCTTCGCTGCTGTCGTACATTGGTATACCGTCGGCGCGGTCTAGGTCGTCGAGTTGCATGCCGCCATCGGACTCGGATTCAGAGTCCGTGTCTGAGACGAGGTTTACGGGTTGACGGGACATGTTGAAGATATTCAGATGAGGTGTAAGTCAGTGGCAAGTGAAAAGCAGACCGAGACGGGGTCTTTGAGTTGATATGCGGTTGGTGCGGAGTCGGAGATTGGACAGCGAGACGCAACCAACGACCGGTGAGGATGGAAATGATAAAAGGGCTCTGTAGTAGACTTTGTTTCACGTCTATTATGGACAAATAATTTCATGTATGTCTTATTGTATGACCCCAGGATTGATCTATAGCCAGTGTCAGTGGGTGAGAGATATTTGTGGTAAGTGCACGAGAGACTGGTCGTCTCCAGGAGAGAGGTTGATAGGGAGTAAAATTTTACCTCAATAAGAAGGTTCAAACATACGTGATCGCGGCAGTTCAGATAGAAGTCAAGATATCGACGATTCAGCGTGTTGATGAGATAGCCTCATGCCCTTTCCAGGGCTTGGCATGGGTCCCCGTACTGTAGGCAGATCAGGCAGGCGGTGAGCTGGTACAATGGCAATTTGGTCAAACAGCTAGTGTTGAACCCCCTGATTAGGCTTAGTGGATATCAAGTATACTATGGCAAGCCCTGGACTGTTGGAGAGATACTGATCCTTTGAGTAGAGTGTCACTCAAACGAAATTTTACGTAGGTATTACAAAAAAGAGTGAAAAGTACCGAACGGTTCTATTGAATCAATGATGAATGGCGAAAATAAATAATGTGATGCCAAGACCCAACAACGCCAGAAAACAATGCCGCTAAAACGACTAATAGTTTAGGATAGAAAGATCAAAAGAGAATGATAGAGTCTAATTAGCCGGACATTCGTGCATGTAGGAATTCTTAGGCCAATGGTACCCAGCCTCGTCCCTGGAAGTTCAGTCGTTAGTAAAGCGTAAGAAGACAAAACAAGCGGATAAACATACCAAGTCGTCAAGTTCGCATTATCGTATGCCTTGCGATGTTTCTCAATATACTTAGTCGTCTCATAACCCGGTGGGTCACAGGTAACGCTCTCATCATCAGGGTCCTGGTAGATCCGGACGTAGTCGAAGCGCAGGATAGCAGGCATATAATCGATGATGCTCTTGTTCTGCGGCGCGAAGTTATCCGCCATACCCATATTCATGATCAGCGCCATGGGCTCGAGTGGGATCATGCGTTGCCCGACATTGCCATTAGGTCCAATGGCGCGGCCGTCCAGTGTCCAGGTCTTTTCAGCGCCAACGAACCAGGTCACCTGGCCTTCTGCGCCGGGTGTATACTCGAAGGAGTAGGTTTGGTACTCGGTGCCGTTGTACCAGCGGTGGTTTAGATTGGTTAAGCTGGACAAGGCCTGTTGGTAGACACCGCCTCGGTAGGAGTTGATTTCGGTGACGCGTGGGTCGTAAACGGCGGCGAAGTCTGAGGTTTCTTTGGTTAATAGATGTCTTGCATAGAAAAGATCAAAAAGAATGCTCACCATAGTCGGGCAGATACCACAGGTCAAATGGTGCAGTCTGCAAACTCTGCGATGCACTACCGACGTAGGGACCGCTGTCACCATATAGCGGAGCAGTGCTACCTTCGATCACATCGATTTCAGGAGCACTGCGTGCGGTACCAGGGGTCGGGTGATCGGAGCCAGGACAAGCACATCCGGGCAAGCGCATACCGGGCAGCCAGTTGATACCATCAGGGGAACTCTGGTTTGGGGTAATGCCTGCATCGCAGCCATCGTGGTAGCTGTATGGCCACATACCATCGGTGGTAGCAGCATAGCCAGGACGAGCCAGGTTACCCATTGCCCAGAAACCAGGCCAGAACCCTTCGATGTGTCCATCACCCGGGAGCGACATGCTAGCTTCGAGACGGCCCCCCTTGAAGCAAAGCTTGTTCCAGCTCTGTACCATACCAGATCGGTAGTCGAGACCGTGGTTTTCGAAATGATCGAATCGAAGCTGGAGGGTGCCTTCTGCCGTGGTTACAGCGTCGGGGTCATACCACTAAGCAGTGTCAGTGTTTGAACAATGATTCCTGACACAGTTCATACTAACCTCTTTGTCCTGTGTTACTCCATACCATATATCGACTGCTTGGAAGAACGGGTCATCGTCCTCAAAGAACGTTCGACCAGGCATGTTAAACTCGTCGGAGAACTGCAATGGAACGTCAGCCACTTGTATTTGTCATTGACCTATTAGACAACCCACCACTAGCTTCATCTCCTTTCCATTGGCGCTTTTTTTGGTGTGCGCCTCTTTCGGTGTGTCTGGGTCAATCAAACCCACGCGCAGGTTTTGCAACAATGGCCGCTCCCCAACGTCCAAACACAACGTGTCTCCAGGGTGGCATACATCCTCATGATGTTTTGCCATGCTCACCAACCAAGTTCTGCAATTATTGGTTAGCCGGGGGAGAGACAGTCAACACAGCCAACAACTTCTTACATGAGCGGGTAACCAATGAAAAGCACTAGGAGACCTAGGGTAAAAATTGCCAGACCACCCACATTCACAATACCCCGTCGATTCCAGATATCACAATCCCGATCCTTGTCTGTCGGGTCCGGGTTATGCAAGTAGTCATCCTTCTCCACATCCTCAGGGAACAACAGCAAGCCATCAGTGGGCATGATATTGAATTTCCCCGACACAGTCTGCGTGTTGACATCGTACTCTTCACTACCAGCGTGCGAAGGCGCCCTCGAATCCTGGAAGGGATCCAAGGGGAAAGTGCTCTCATGACTGATAGAGCTGATACTCGAGCGAGCCGCAGACCACCGGTCCGGAGACAGGGGGCGATAGGTCTGGCTCACACCTTGTCCTTGTGTAGGCCTCAACTTTGGGGGCAACAGGAATTCCGAGGACTCGGGGACATTCGATGCGCCGTATGGTGATGTCGCTTGAGCGCCTACTGCCATGGGCGCTTCGGGGCCCTGTGGCGTCAAGGGCCGGGGAAATGTCCGCGACGTGAGAGGTGCATAGCCCTCATTTGTCTCGAGGAAAGGATCCTGCCGCCCCGAGTTGAGTCGGATATGAGGCGTCACCTTCCCCTCCGAAGAATCAGAGCCGTGGTCCGACATTTGATTGTCGATTTTCAAGCTCTCGGATAAGTTCGACACGCTCCTTTGCTCTGCACGGGTGAGGCCTTGCTCTCTAACTTCGATTGCTGCCGCGAGAACAACCCTTTTGCATCAGTCGTTGGTAGAATCCGTGGGGCAGGTTGGTGTAGCGATATGGTTTTCTGCTTCTTCTTTCTTCCGGTTCGTCACACGGGAATTTTGCTCTATATCTCAACGGTAAAGACTGGAGACCTAAGTCGATATACTGCACAGTCGATGAGTGCGGTGTTTTAGCGAAAGGACAGACACGGCAGGTCGGATAGCATCGAATGTCCCTCGGCGACACGATAAAAGAGACAAACAGAGTCTAAACGGAGAAAGAAGGCCAAAACCACAGAAGAAAAGAAGAGCCTAGATGGTCCGAGGGGTCTTGTTTAGATTCACGAGGAGACAGGAATGACAGAGACCCAAGGGGGCAACTAGTGGTATGTCTATGCGTCTCTCTCCCACCGGCGTTGGGGACGGACTGTTGATGATAGTAGAGTACTGTTTCAGACTCGGTTCAATGGACAAAAGCCATATTTAATATATCATTGACTCTCTGGTTCGATTAATTGGAGTAAACTGTTAGTGGTTTTCGAGCTCTATCCTGGCTCTTCACACCCTAGGCAGGGCTATTCTAGGGTGCGGCATTCCCGCTGCTTCCCAAGCCCGAGGAATGGCCCGGCATGAATGCTGGCCGGAATTCGGGGATCGCCATCGTCATGAACCTGGAGAGATTCAGATGCAGTAATAATAGCAGTCAAAAGTCGCTCCGTATAGATAGATGTATGGGGAGTTGTTGAAGTGAAGGGCAAACCAGCGGAGAAGATGAGACATGGCCCGAGAGCCCTTTCATTCCGTCAGCGCAATATACAACACGGATACATGTGCATGTAATTTCTTTAGACATGCACAGCTACAAAATAATCACAGATTTGTTCCCTTCAGGGCTAATTGACCAAATCGACCTGTTTTGCGTAGCAATTGACACGCGTCCTGCTAAACCCCAACCCTCAGCTTAAGAATGCAGCAATTCCCGACCCAGAAGCTGTCAGGACCACCTTGCACTAAAGGCAAAGCAGGATGAAGACCCTGTTTATCTGTTTATCCATTCCCTTCCAACACTATGGACATCAAAGAACAAAGTAGCGGGAAACACATAGTGATATACCTCGATGTTTTCTCATAGAATATCGAAGTCATATTTCGGTACAATAGACAGCTACCTACACACACCAAAAAGCAAAATACAGATCATGCCCTACGCCATCCCAATACCTCTCCGTTATGGATACAAACAGCCCGAACACCTACGACTCAACAGCCTTAGCGCGCAAACCGACAAGACGGCTCTCAGGCGCATGTAGTGCCAGAACCCAGTACTCGATCTTAGTACTCGTTTGTTCAACACGGTAGACCTTCAGCTCAACAGCCAACTGATCGGCACCAGAATCTTTCTCGACAGCCGCAACACGGACAGCATCCAGGGCGGTGGAGTACTGATTCTTCGGGTCGAAGGAGGAGGGGGATAGAATGGAGATGGACTGGGACAGGTCGGTATCTGGGGAGATCAGGGAGGAGAGCTGGTCTGTTGTGAGGGAGGTGGGGGTTTAGCAGGGCGATTCTAGGATATTTTGTCTTGGAACTTTCAAGGGAGCAAGCCCACTAAGGAGGATGTGGAATATGAAAGAACTAGAAAATGGAAATGGAAACGGAACAGGAACATACCAGCACTAGGCCACGCTCCCTTGGCTGCACCATCCCACTTCAATGCCACTGGCTCGAAGGGCTCGTCTGTATCGGAGATGTAGTATGCGTCGACGGACTGTAGTGGCTTCGGGACTGACAGGGAGCTGTGCACGGTCTCGGTCTTGACGGTGCCGGCCCCTTGCTGCGGGGCGCTGCCGCTCACATCTTCGTTGGCTTTGTCCAGGAAGGACATGTAGGCGTCGTCGGAGGACATGGTTCGTGGTGATGTTGAGAAAGGGGACTTGGTGGAAAGGGAAGAGCTGGGTTGTGGTTGCGGTCTTGAGGTTGCGGGGAAGAGGCGGGTTTGGTGATCTGTGTTTGCTGTGTGGGGGTGATATTGACGATGTAGAAGGCGGTATTGAGAATGACGATGCTCGACTTGGAAGGTTGATTGTAGAGTGTAGGATGAGATTGGCAAAGCCCGTTTTCTTGCTGAAGCTGGCAGGGAAAAGTGTGGGATGACGCAATGGATTTTAGACTGGCGCATATTGTTTACCAGCGGCTTGTCAGATTGGAATTTGGTATTTTTTAACGCCTAAAGAGACTGTAGGATTTTTAGAGAATATCATTAGATATATGGAGGAACTAGGGGGGGGGGGGAAGGGAAAAGCTGTTCGAAATGTCTGGTACATATAGACATCCGAACCAGATATGTATCAACTGGTTGGAAATATAGGTATTCGGTGATTTGAGAAATGATTTAAAGACTGATATAGATCCTGGGTGAAGATGCTCCCAAATACACCTGGAATATATTTGTAAATTTACGATATACAGCTACATGCAAATCGTGAAGGATATTCGCTTTTTTATTCAGTATGAAACGTTGCACTATCACCAACCATAGGCTTAAACATCTTAAACAGTCTCCACAAGGTCCTTCTTGAGGGTACCCATGAAGGCCTTCTTCTCCTCGAAGGTCTGGAAAGCACCGTGACCGAACTTGGAGGAGGTATCGATCCACTTGAGCTCGACCTTCTCGGTGGCCCTGCGGGAAGTCTGGGGGTACAGAGTCTTGCGCAGAGTCATAACACGCTTCTTGACACCGGGAACGGAGCCCTTGACCATAACGAAGTCGTTCTTGACCTCACCGTAGTGGACGAAACCACCCATGCTAGAGAAATGTTAGATTAGAAGCACACGGAGAAAATATCACGGAGATACATACGGGGTGATCTGCTTCTTGGAGATGTCGAACTCGGTGGAGGCGTTACCCTCATCAGTACCCTTTCCAATGCGGAAGACCTTGTGGTTGCAAGAGGTACGGTGGTGGTAACCGTCCTGACCAGCACGGGCAACAGTCCACTGGACGTGGTTAGGGTGCCAAGCACCAATACAGGCGACCTTGCGCAGACCCTTGTGAGTCTTGCGGGGCAGCTTGGTGGTGCCCCAACGGGAGGTAACACCGGAGAAACCGTGACCCTTGGTGACAGCGATGACATCAATCATCTCGTCCTTCTCGAAGATGGAGTCGATATCAATGGTCTTCTCGAAGAGGTTGCGGGCGAAGTCGACCTTGTCAGCGACAGAGCCACCATTGACCTGGATCTCCATAAGGTGGGCCTTCTTCTGCTTGATGGGAGTCTGGCGGATCTGGGTGTGGGCGAGCACACGGACGACAGTGCAGTACTTCTGGATGCGCTCAAGCTCGCGGGTGATGGAGGCACCGGAGCTCTCGGCGTGGGACTTGGCGTACTTGGTGAAGGCCTTCTTCTTGGACTTGTACCAGTTCTTGTAGAAGCGACGCTTGACCTCATCGCTCAGGTGCTCAGCCCAGACGGTGGTGAGAGAGCGGAGACCACGGGGAGTCTCGATGTAACCGACGACACCGACGGCAACGAGCTACAAAGAAAAGAAATTGTTAGGCTCTGGTCGCTTTTTTCTCCTTCACTTTCGCACACAACGGGGGAAACGTACAGGAGGAGTCTCGATGACGGTGACGGCCTCGACAATCTCCTTCTTGTGCATCTTGGCACCAGGACGGTCAAGGTCACGGACGACAGTGGTCATACCAGCCTTGTAGCCCATGGAGGCAGTAAGGTGGACGGGCTTCTTGGCGTCATCCTTGGGGAAGCTGTCGCAAAAAGGTCTCAGCGCAAAAATCCACAATCACGAACTTATTCAGAAAGTACTGACCTCTTGACCTTACCACGGTGACGGGCAGCGCGCTTGCGCGGGAGGTAGGCAAGGGAGCCTAGAGATATATCAGTATACTGTTCACACACAGGCCGTATTTCGAAATTTCGATATCGAGGAAAGGTGATCACGAACCGTGACGAGGCGCTTCGTACTTCCGGTGACTCCTGAAAAGCGAAAGCAGGTTAGCAATTTTATTCAATGGCGATTGTATATGAATCTTCAAATCGGAATTGACTCACATCTTGACCCTGTTATCGTTAGTCGTCGAGGTGGTGGGAGGACGATCTGGAAATGTTGAAGTTGATTTTGCACGCTTGGTGTGTGGGCTAACCTAAGCGAGACTCTTGGCGTCTATGAGCCTGAGGCACCCCACAATAACTCAAATTATCTAATCCAGCCCTGGTCCTGTCACGTGCCGTCCAGATTTTCCGGGTTGTATTTTTATGGGTCTTCATGCTGCCAAGACAAACGGCCAGCAATATGGTTTTAGGAAATCCACATTGTGGGCTGGAAGGAAATTACTTTATGCAGTAATACTCGTCACTTATACAACTCGATGAGAAAAGAAAGGACACGTAAATTTACTCTACCAAATTCCAGAGTATCAAACAAATGATTTGCTTCAAGGATGCCTGATGCACCATAAAAAAATTCACAGTGAAAGGAGACTAAGAAATCATAAAAAAAGAGAACGAACAGACTTGTCGAGTATTCAGCGCACGCGCTTGAAACTAGGTAGTCATCGTAACTCGCACATTCATACCGTACATCACACACTGAAAGATAGGAAGGACAGGGAGGAGCAAGGAAGCGAGAGATTTAGGCTTTGCCAGATTTAATTTAACCAGACCACACTTGTCTGGCCGTGAGAGGGAAGAAGTTTCATGCCGTTGGCTCAGCCTTGGATGGAGTACTGGCACGGGCATTTCCGGCACCATTAGTGGGATTGCCAGCAGCGCTGCCGTTGGGGCTGCCCTTGGAAGCAGCAACAGCCTTCTTCTCTTCCTCAACGTCGTCGTCGTAATCTTCGTCGACATCCATCTTGCGCGCAGGGGGCTCGTGGGCAGGGGGAGCCTCGGGGCGAGGAGCTTCTTCCTTGACCGGGGTGTTGGCGGAAGGAGGCCCAGAGGGCGGAGCATTGGATGCAGGTGCAGTGCCCTCGGCCATCGGGGGAAGACTGGGGCCAGCAGAAGGGCGGGGCGGCATGTCTTGGATCGAAGGCAGAGTAGGAGGGTGGTGAGCAGCCTCTGAAGGGTGGTAGTTCTCATTGGCACGACGGGCGTCCTCGCGGCGGGCCTCCGAGGAGCTTCGTCGTTGCATCTCACCAGGAGAAGGCAGACGAGCGGGTGGGCTCGGGCGCCGGTTGGTCTGGTCATCCAGACGAGCGCGGCTCTCTTCATTTGCATGCTTCTTGACTGGACCAGCATCAGCCTCCCATTCACGGCCGCGCTTCATCGCAGATGTGGGGCGATCTTCGCGATCACGGGCAGCAGCTTCAGCAGCAGTAGCAGCCGAAGCAGGCGCCGGGGCACCGGAGGCGATGGAGTTACCGCCTGGAACTTGTGGGGGGAGGGTAGGACCGGGGTGGAACTGTTGGAGAGGGTATCCTGAGCCTGGCGAAGAGGGACGCTCATCGCGAATAGGGCGGATTTCAGGAGCAGGACTGAATGGACGATTCTGGTAAGGAGGGGGAGGAGCACCGCCATTGGGCCCAGGAGGTCCAGGGGGACCAGGAGGAGCGACGGGCAGACCAGTCGGCAGAGCACCACGTGGGGCACCGAAGGTATTGCCACCACTAGGAGCGCGTTCGTGGCCTGGACCAGGAGCATTTCCAATCTGGGGTAGGGTGTGAGGCGGCGGGTAGGCGCTGGGATCACCAATCTTTGGCGATCGAGGAGCGCCACGGGGATCCGGGAACGCCCGACCAGGCTCCTGTCGAGGGCTCTGAGCGGGAGCACCGGGGATCCGAGCATCGCGCTGGTCAAGACCGTTAGATGGGGGTGCTTGGCTCTGCGACTGAAGGTCGTTGATACCACGGTTCCAGTCAGGAATCTGTCTCGGGGGAGCAGGAGCTTGTGGAGGGGGGCCGATGGGGGCTGGGGCACCCCACTGAGGAGCTGGAGGCGCACCAACGCCAGGTGCCTGGTAAGCCTGAGGATGGACATCCTGCGGCTGAGGGGCGGGGGCAGTGGGCGGCTGTTGTCCAGCCGTGCCAGCAGACAACTGACTTTGAAGAAGCTGCAGACGAGCCTTGATGTGAACGTTGCTTGGATCAAGATCTGCGGCACGCCCGTAGGCATCCAGGGCATCGGCGATCTGGTTGTTGCATGATTCGTACAAAGTGCCCAGGTCATACCAGACCTCCGAAATGTAAGGGTTCAGGCGGATCGCGCGAGAGTAGGCATCGAGAGCATCGCGGTATTGGTTGATCTGGTAGTAAAGAACACCAATCGAGCACCAGAAGGTAGGGTTGCGACCATCGCGGTAGACCGCTTGCTGATAGGCTTCATATGCCTTGGGGTATTTCGCCATGGACATGTAGCAACGACCGAGGAGATACCAGCTTTGAGCGTCATTGTTATCTGGAGGAAAATTGATTAGTCTCGATATAAAAATGAGAATGGGCGATTGAAAGTGCACTTACCAGCATTGACAGACTTCTCCAAAAACTGGATGGCCTTCTCCTGGCTTTGGAAGGCGTTACTCTGCTGGTGGTAGAGCCATCCAAGCTGCTGGAGAACTTTGGCGTGGTTTGGATCCCGCTCAAGGACACGCTGGTAGGCGGATTGGGCAGACTCAAACTGAGGATCGCATGAGTATAAGGTAACAATCAAGAGTGGAGGGAAGCACGACTTACGTCTTTCTGTTGCTCATGAACATGGCCAATCTGGAACCATATGTCTTCTTCGGTCAGAGGGCGTGGGGGATCGCTAACAATGTATTTGAAGCACTAGGATGGATTAGTCACAGCTCTCAAGACTCATACCAACAGATGTCACATACCTCCAAACTCTGGTTAAACTTCTGCTGCTGCTTGTATATGATTCCCAGGCGGAAGTAGATCTCATTTGCCTTCTCGAAATCGGGTGCCATGCGCATCACTTGCGAGAAAGCCTCTTCCGCATGGTCCAGAGAACCATAGCGATCATACAAGATACCGATTCCATACCACAGCTTGGGTTCCTAATGAGGGAATTGGAATTAGCAACTGATATTCGAAGAAGATGCCAGGAGAAAACGGCTTACCTTTGGGTCGCGCAAGTGGTAAAGGGCTTGCTGGTAGGAGGTGTATGCCTCTTGCAAATTGTCCATCATGAGATGGCAGTGGCCCAAGCTGCCCCAAGTCTC